CTCCCAAGTAGCTGGGACCACAGGCGCCCACCACAACGCCCGGCTATTTTTTGATTGCAGCCGTCATTGTTGTTTTTGGCGGGTCCGGGCTGGGGATTTGAACCCGCCACCTTAGGTGTACGTGGCTGGCGCCTTAGCCGGTTGAGCTATAGGCGCCGAGCCCTAAGATAATTTTCAAGGTGTAGAACAATTCGAGACTTTAGCTTTTTCTTTAACACAGTATCTCTTTAAGTCCCAGCCATATGGAACTTTATCTAAAGTTCCCCCAAGCACTGAGGTATTTCCTGCTTATTGACTTTTCTTCTGGCATCCACAGTATATTGATTGTACCCATCTTTGTGTCCCATGTACCTTACATATATGTCCGTGAAAGCATCTTTGATGCTATTTGCCCATTGTCTAGTGGATGGAATTGGTGGGCCGCAGCCAATGTGTAGCTGAGTCTGGGAGCAGCCTGGTGGCAGCTGGCCTGGGCAATACAGGTTTCTACCTTCCTGTAGCAGTTCCATTCTGTGTCTCCTTCCCTGCTGCCCATGAACACTCAACCCACCCTAGAGGGTTTAACAGCCCTTCAACTCCAGTAACTGTCCCTTGGGCCCTCTCCCTCTGGACAAGCCCATATTTATAGCTGTGGAATCTCCTTGAGAAGGAGTGTGAAGTCTCAGCCCAGGGAGTCTCCTTGAGTTGGGTATTGTTAGATGGCCTCTGCAGGAACTGGGCTCTTGGTCAGCCCTGCAGCCCACACCTCCAGTTAGGGACAAATCTAATAGGTGGCAGATTTGCCCTTTGGATCCTGGTTTTTTCCTTTTCTTCCTTCTCTGAACCTCATGAGCCTTCTTTGTCACCTCTGGGCCTTAGGTTGCTTTTTGGTAGGTTAACCCTGTACCCGGCTGTCTGCCTGGGACCTTCTGAGTGGACAGTCGAAGCAAACCAGGCAGAGTCTTCCACTCTCAGAGTCTGCATTCTAGGTGGAGGGGACATGCAGCAAACAAATGAAGAGAAAGTCTGAATAAGCACATAATTTGTTCATTTGCTTTGTATATGTACTTTTCAAAATAGGAATTTGCCTTGGGATGCAGCTAGCAGTGATAGAGTTTGCAAGAAACTGCCTTAACATGGAAGGTAGGTTCAAAGTTTGCTAGTAACTATTGATTAAAACTATTCTTTTAATCACGTCAAATATTTTTCAGCAATATTGGTAAATTCTGACTTTTCTTTTTTTTTTTTTTAATCTTCAGATGCTCATTCTACAGAATTTGAGCCAAATACTTTAGTTCCTTTGGTAAGTGGCTTGTTTATATTTCTAGGTCCAGCGTTCGTCATTTGGTTCCAGGGTCTTGCCTAAACTTATAAGAGTCTTTATTAATGTTTTTTTTACAGCACTAGAACATTTTAAATTCTATGTGAATTTGTTATTATCATTATTAGTTTTATATAAGACCACTTTGTTCTTAGTAGCCCATCTTGTCACTTGTGCCTTGCAGGCAGATGCAATCCTGGACTGACTGGTCTTCACTGCAGTTTTCAAGCTTAATATTTAGGGAAGGATTAAATTGGCTGTGACAACAACTTATAACACCTACTATAAATAAATGAGCTGTCCTGTCTCTAGACTCATCCTTGGTCTGCCTATTTTCCACCTTGGTGGTCATTTATCTTTCCAGAACAAAAGCGGCAATCATTGTGCTGTTGGCCCTCATCTCCCACTAATCCCTTTCTCTTAAAATATTCAGTCCAGGATTCTTGGCTGGGTCCCAAGGCCATTGTGCTTTGCCACCTGCTTTGCTCATTCATCCCAGGACATCTTGATTCTTCCCATGCTCTGGGTTTTATGTTTGGATGATCTGAACTAGTTTTTTCTGATGTAGCCTGAGTTGTCCCCTTGCCACAAATCTTCCTCCCTGTGGAATCTTGTTAAAACCAGTGTTTTTTAATTTATAAAAACACAACAGTTTGGTTACGGACAACTCCCAATGCATCCTGGGAAGCCTTTCCTGTCCTCTTCCTCTGCCTTCTGCACACATGCCACTGTGCTTGCCACTAATGGGGCACACTCTGTGTGATTGTCCTTTTTGCTTGGCCTTGTTTTGCTTCTTCACCTGCCGCCTGTTCACGCCCAACTGTGTCCCTGCTGCTGAGCACCCATGTCTATAGAGCATGCTTCTCATACAATTGTGGCTGGTTTTTAAAGCACCTTTATTTTTTTTATTTTTTATTTTTTTTTTGAGAGAGAGCCTCAAGCTGTTCCCCTGGATAGAGTGCTGTGGCATAGCTCACAGCAACCTCCAAGTCCTGGGCTCAAGCGAGTCTCCTGCCTCCGCCTCCCAAGTAGCTGGGACCACAGGTGCCTGCCACAACGCCTGGCTATTTTTTTCCCCGGTTACAGCCATCATTGTTGTTTGGCGGGCCCGGGCTGGATTCTAACCCGCCACCTTAGGTGTATGTGGCTGGCGCCTTAGCCACTTGAGCCACAGGTGCTGAGCCTAAAGCACCTTTATTAAGATATAATTCACATACCACAAAAAACAGCAATTTAAAGTGTATCATCCAATGGCTTTTAGAATATTCACAGGTTTGCAACCATAGTCACAGTCAATTTTAGACCATTTTCATTATTCGAAATAGAAACCTCATACCCCTTAGCTGAAACCCTTAAGTCTCCTGTCCCCCTAGCCCATGGCAACCATTAATCTATTTCTGTCTTTATAGATTTGCCCATTATAATCATTTCATATAAATGGAATAATATAATGTGTACCCTTTTGTGGTCAGTTTCTTTTACTTAGCATAATTTTTCAAGGTCTGTGTTGTAGTATGTATTCGTACTTTATTTCTTTTTATTGCAATTAATAGTCCATTGAATGGATGTACCACATTTTACATAATATCAATCCATCCCATTGATGCACATTTGGGTTGTTCACACCTTTGGTGATTATGAATAATGCTACTCTGAACATTCATGTACGTGTTTTTGTGTGGGTGTATGTTTTTATTTCACCTAGAAGTGGAATTGAGAGATCATATGGTAACCAATTCTATGTTTAACCCTTTGAGAAACTGCCAGACTGTTTTCCAAAGTGGCTGTAAAATTATACTTAACCATCAGCAATATATGAGGCTCTCAATTCCTTGTGAACATTTGTTTGTTGTCTTTTTTTTTTTTTTTTTTTGAGGCAGAGTCTCACTTTGTTGCCCTTGGTACAGTGCTATATCATCACAGCTCACAGCAACCTCCAAATCTTGGGTTTAAGTGATTCTCTTGCCTCAGCCTTCCAAGTAGCTGGGACTATAGGCACCCACCACAATGCCCGGCTATTTTTTTTGTTGTTGTTGTCATTGTTGTTTAGCAGGCCCGGGCCGGGTTGGACCCTGCCAGCCCCTGTGTAGGTGGCTGGTGCCCTAGCTGCTGAGCTACAAGTGCCAAGTCTGTTGTCTGTCTTTTTGATGGTAACTATCATAGTGAGTGAGTGGTGGTATCTCATTGTGGCTTTAATCGATGTGTCCCTGGTTGGGAAAGATGCTGAATATCTTGTCATGTGCTTATTGTACACTTGGATATCTTCTTTGTAGAAATGTCTATTCACATCCTTTGCCCTTTTTTATTTTTTAAATTTAGAGACAGAGTCTCACTTTGTTACCCTTGGTAGTGTTGCTGTGGCATCACAGTTCACAGTAACCTCCAACTCCTGGGCTTAGGTGATTCTCTTGCCTCAGCCACTCAAGTAGCTGGAACCACAGGTGCCCACCACAACCGCCTGGCTATTTTTTGTTGCAGTTTGGCTGGGGCTGGATTTGAACCTAACACCCTCCATATATGGGGCCAGCGCCCTACTCACTGAGCCACAAGAGCTGCCCTGTTTTTGTTTTTTTGTTTTGTTTTGTTTTGTTTTTTGAGACAGAGTTTCATTATGTCACCCTTGGTAGAGTGCTGTTGCATCACAGCTCACAGCAACCTTCAACTCTTGGGCTTAAGCGATTCTCTTGCCTCAGCCTCTCAAGTAGCTGGAAGTACAGGTGCCCTCTACAATGCCTGGCTATTTTTTTTTGGTACTTATCATTGTTGTTTTGGCAGGCTTGGGCTGTGTTCAAACCTGCCAGCTCTAGAGTATGTGGCTGGCACCCTAGCTGCTGAGCACCAAGCCTCCTTTGCCCATTTTTAAGGTGGGTGATTTGTATTTTTATTATTGAATTGTAAGTATTCTATATACAAGGTCCTTATCAGATAAATGAATCACAATTTTGACTTTTTGGGCCAGTGGTACTTTGTTGTGTGTTTGGATTGTTCTGTGCCTTGTAGGCTGTTTGATAGCATCTCTGTCCTCTACCCATTACATGCCAGTAGTGTCCTCCCCAATTGTGACACTAAAATTATCTTCATGTATTGCCAAATATCCCTGGGGGCCAGGGGCAGAATCAATAGGGTTGAGAATCACTGATTCAGAGAAATCCACTTCTATTCCCTCCTTTTCCTATGACAACCATTCATTATTTTTTTTCCCTTGGTTTATCTTTCCATTATAAAAATATAAGTAAAGCTGTATGTCTATCTGTAATCCTTCCTCTTCTTAGAGAAATGGTAGCACACTTTGAACATTCTTTTCCTGCTTTGCTTTTTTTACTTAATGCTATATGCTGGAGATCACCACATGGAAGGATACAGAAATATTCTTCACTCTTTTTTTATAGCTTGTAATTCAAGCCATAATGAGAGATAACTTACCAGCCAGATGGTACTTTTAAGTCTTATGTTCAGAGTGCCTAATACCAATGAAGAGTTCTTTATGAGCCTTTAATATAAACATATTTTCTGACTAATAGCTGAAATGGCTGTGCCAGGAAAACTGGGTTTTCTTTTCTAAGATATACGATGGTCTAAGAAGTGATTTTACCAGTAGGTGCCACTGTTAGATAGCTTTGTCAAAGTTATTTCTTTGATGACTGTTCTTTACTCTTTGTGTGTGTTTGTGCATATGCTTTAAACAAAAATCATACACAGCGTGAAAAGTTAAGCTGTAAATTGTACATAACTGCCTCTGACATGTCCCCACCTCATGTCAGTTCCCTTCCTCAGAGTTAGCTACCTTGATTATCCCTCCTTCTCTCCCTCCTCCCCCCTGCCTTTGATGGAGTCTTGTTATGTGGCCCAGGCCAGAGTGTAGTAACTATTCACAGACATCATCATAGCACACTATAGTCCTGAACTCTGGGACGTAAGCTAATCCTCCTGCTTCAGCCTCCCAAGCAGCTAGGACTACAGATGTGTACTACTACACTTGACTAATTTTTTTTTTTTTTTGTGGCTAATTTTTTTATCTTTTGTAGAGCCAAGATCTTGCCCAGGCTGGTCTCGAACTCCTGGCCTCAAGTGATCCTCTGGCCTCTGCCTCATAAAGGGTGATCCATTTCTTTTATTACTCTTTCAGATTGCCTGTGTGTTTGTGTGTATATATGCACTTGCACACGTGCTTGCACACACATATAGATAATGTATTTCTTTTTGAAAAATACATATTTGACACACTATTCCCATCTTGTTTTTTGTACTAATCACTGCACATCATTGTGCAGGGGTATTGTCTACCAGCTCTGGCTGGAAAGTATTCAGTCGTGCAATATGAAAATCAGAAACACTTGCTGAGGAACAATGACTGGATACTTTCTGGACAGACCTTATCTGTGCTTGCCCTGCTGGATGCTTTGTCATTATTTATTTAACCAGTGTCGCGTGTAGGTTGTTCCCATTATTATTCTACTTGAGAATCATGCCGTAAATTTGTATTGGTGTGCATGTGTTCTTGCACCCATATGCTGTAAATTAATTTTACATGTGCCATAACTTCCTAGGAGGGGAATTGCTAAGTTAGAGGATGTGTGCATTTTGCTTCTTGATGTCTCCTATGTACTTAAGTGAGATGAGAACAATAAAACCTAATTGCTATTGAACATCTTCATGGCCTGCAAATGAGTTTGTTTGGGAAAAATTACCTGAGGAGGTATAACCTGAAGAGGCATCGTTTGTGTTGATGGTAAGATGTCATATTAAAGAAGAAGGCTAAGGTGATGGAGTGATAAGGCAGCAAACATGAAGCCAGGGGAGTCACTTGAGCAAATAATAATTACCTAGTGAGCTACAGTCAGTCTGGCCCTTCTAGACAAAGAAGTAAATAAGTGGGAGGCCAGCAGTTTCCTTTAGGGTTTATTTGCTGCTAAAGTGTTTTCTTGGGCCATTGTGACTCTCCTTTGGCAAGCAGGATTAATCAATAGAGACACTGGCATCCA